TGAGTCCTGGTGGATCCAGAGTTGAGTCCTGATGGATCCAGAGTAGAACTGTTCTCTATACTTTTCAAGGCTGTGCCATCTTGGAAATGGATCACCAAGTCTCTCTTCCATAGTGCCCAGGGGTGGGTTTGAACTGACAGCATTTTGCCTAGTAGTTAAACCCTTGACCATTATTCAGATTAAAAATGCAAATCTAAAACAATGAAGTTCTTGGAAGAAAATATAGGAGTAACGTGTTGCAACTTAATTTTCTTCCATGATCAATTATCAGACACAACAATGAATGCAACAGAAAACAAAATAGATATGTAGGACCTTTTATAAAAATTACATACTTATGTTCAGTAGAAGAGTTCCTCGAAAGAGTTCAGAGACATCATACAGCTTCCCCCTGCCTTCCCTACTCACCCTCCTTCCCTCACAAACTGGTGATAATTTATAAATTATTATTATTTTGTCACGTCTTACACTGTTCGATGTCTTCACCAGTAATTATCAATGCAACTTGATTGTATGATAAATTTCAGACTGAGGAATCAAAACCCAAACCCAACCTACTACTATTGAGTAAAAGGAGCCGATATAATTCTTCAATTTCTTTATCTTTGGCTTTAGTATCGGTGCATAAACTTAAATAACAGTTGTATTAACTGGACTTTCTTGTAGGCATAGAGATATTAGTCTACATAGACAGCATTATACTTCAAGGTAGTTCTTGAATTGTGATTTTTGCTGATGAATGTAGTGTTATCCCTCTTGTATTTGTCACTCCTGTATAGTAAACGATAGGACTGCATGAGTCCAAATGGCTAGTACTTCTCTATTCAGCTCACTAATGTTTAGGATATGGATTTTCTTGCATTCCATTTCCTTTTTTGATTACTTCCAGTTGTCCTAAATTCATACTTTGTACATTCCAAGTTCTGCTTATGAATATATGTTTTCAGGTCTTTATTCTAATTTTCAATCCTACTCCATCAACAAATGAAAGTCCCCAAAACTTCATCCTATCCAAGCCACTAAGGTTGATTCTACTTAGAAAAGGCAACTTTTATCCATTCATAGTTTGAGTGGCTTCCTACCTGAGGAATTGACTTTTGGTCCTATATAAGTAAATGTCCCACTGCTCTTCATAGAAATTTTCAGTGGCTAATGCTTCAGAATGGCTTCCTTAGCAATAACAATTATTGCCAAAGAAGAATCCTCGGAGCCTTGGCAGGTTCCTTTGACACTGGAAAGCTGTCATCAGTTGAGTACAGGAAACATCTGGTCAACAATCTTCCTTCTCATTCCTGAATGTAGTAGTGTTGGTGTCTCCAGGTGTTGCAGACTAAATACCAGGTGGACTCTGAAAGCTTATTAGAATATCCTCAGTCTCTAAGGTTCTCCTGGAAGTCAGTAGACTTATCCTCACAAGAGCCCATTTATGGCAAGGTCCAGAGGAGCTCCTGATCACAGATATCTCCAAGTATCAGGCCTCAGAGAACACCTATCAGTGTCAGAGGGCCAGACATGGAGGCTAAGCCAGCATGGGGCATGCTGCTTCTGCTTCTAAACCCTGGGAGAAGTGAAGGTTGCCTGCCTAATTTCCAAGAGTTGTGTATTCTCTTCCCATGTATGTGTCTGGACAACACCTGAGTAGAACATTCTTATGTACTTTACAGCACGTACCATCATCCACGGCCCACTATGCAAGATTCATGATCCAACCAGGATAGACACCAACGATTACTGACAAAAGATGCGGATAGCTGTGCTACTTTAGGTAACCCATACTTCACTAACAGAGATGATTCATAAATTAGAAAAGCATATAATTGTCTGAAGTTATTCTTTAGATATTATAGATTATAAGTACATAGTCCAAGAAGTAAGACATTTAATGTAAATGCAGTTTTCTTTTTTTCTCTCCTCCATTGCTTGTTTAGAAGGGAGCACATTTCCAATTTATGTACAGACAGGCTTTATACTTCCTTTTAATACCTGGTCATCCAATCTACCTCTAGAGCATTTGTATGCATGGAAGGCTGGTATCAGGTACTCACTCATAGGTCCAGCATAGGTTCATTAGCTCATACATCTCTCTTGGACAGTCTGGAGGGCACCCCATCCTTTCTCCTTTCTCTAGCATAGCAGACACTTCACTTCCTTTCATTCCCTGAAAACAAACAAAATCCACCTGGAATTTTAAAAGACTTTTCAACCAAGCAAACCAACAACTAACCACCCCTTCAATAAATGTAGATACAAAAGAAAGTGTGATATTTGATTTCCATTACATAAAATACATGCTAGATGCCAAAGAGAAGTACCCATGGGGCAAAGCTTGTGTGTTCAGTGGGATAGGATGGGAATGTGGACTTCTGTTCTGTTTCTTCAAACTGAAGTCTGGTTTCATGCTGTGTTCCCCTAGTGAACATTCATCCCGCTGTATCCCAGGATTGATATACTTTCTTGTATACATATTATACTTTATAAGAAGTCTAAAAAATCTAAGTGTGCTATGAATTTGGTCTTGTTTGAAATCATTATTTCTGTTTCAACTCTAACTAGGGTTGCATATTTAATTCATATGTATAGGGTGTATATTTAATATGTGTTAATACCAACAGAAACACGAACAATGTTTAGTTTAGCAGTATACATTTGTGTGTTTTTTCAATTCAGAATAAAGCAAGGTAATATTAACTGCCCAATGTCACAGGGTCAAGTGTAAGACTCTAAACAGGAACATAGATTTTGTGATTTTCAGATTCCTGTAAAGAGAATCTGGGTGCCTACTGTATGTTCTGGCCACATAATTAATTTAAAAAAACCAGTAGCTCACTCTATATGGCTTCTGTCCATAGGAAAATGCTTCCCACATCAGCACACCAAAACTCCAGACATCACTTTTGCTTGAGAACTTGTAGTAGTTGATACATTCTGGAGCATACCACTTTACAGGCCACTTTCCATGAGTCTGGGCCTGCAAGGAAAGCAAGTAGAGTTGTTGTTGTTGCTGAGTCCTGGTGGATCCAGAGTTGAGTCCTGATGGATCCAGAGTAGAACTGTTCTCTATACTTTTCAAGGCTGTGCCATCTTGGAAATGGATCACCAAGTCTCTCTTCCATAGTGCCCAGGGGTGGGTTTGAACTGACAGCATTTTGCCTAGTAGTTAAACCCTTGACCATTATTCAGATTAAAAATGCAAATCTAAAACAATGAAGTTCTTGGAAGAAAATATAGGAGTAACGTGTTGCAACTTAATTTTCTTCCATGATCAATTATCAGACACAACAATGAATGCAACAGAAAACAAAATAGATATGTAGGACCTTTTATAAAAATTACATACTTATGTTCAGTAGAAGAGTTCCTCGAAAGAGTTCAGAGACATCATACAGCCTAAGAAACAATCTTTGGGAATGACATAACTGGTAAGGGACTAATATTGAAAATATGTAGCAAACTTCTCAAACTTAACAAGAAGACGACAAACAACCCGATGAAAATCAGTGCAAATATTGATGTGAACGAGGGGGTTCAGAGTGGAGACTCAGAGTCCATCTGTAGACAACTGGATATCCCATCAAAGATGGGTCACTATAGCACTGGGGTGCACTATAGCACTGACGACAAACAACATTCTTCTAGTTCTTTAATGCTTCCTCCAACTATCATGACCCCAGTTTTACATTACAAATCAGGTTAGACCGGAGCATGTACACTAGTACACACACAAGCTCTCAACACATGGATTCCAGGACAGATAAACGCCTCAGGAACAATAATTATGATACCATGAGGGTAGGGGGAAGGTGGGGAGAGAAAGGGGGAAACAATCGCAATGAATGACATAAATCACACACACCCCTTGCCCAAGGGGGATGAAGACCAGAAACGTGTGTGAAGGGAGACAGCGGATGGTGTCAGATATGAAAATAATAATTTATCATTTCTCAAGGGTTCATGAGGGTAGGAAGGTCGGGGAGGGAGGGAAAAAAAGAGAAGCTGATACCAAGGGCTCAAGTAGAAAGAAAATGTTTTGAAAATTATGATGGCAGCATATGTACAAATGTGCTTGGCAATTGATGGATGAATTGTTACAAGAGCTGGATGAATTGTTACAATTGTTATAAGAGCCCCCAATAAAATCATTTATTTAAAAAATCAGTGCAAAGGAAATAAACAGATAATTCACCAAAAGACCAACCGATATATGAAAAGATCGTCAAAGTCATTAGCCATCAGAGAAATGCAAAGCAAAACCACAATGATTCCTTACCTCTTAGATCTCAATATTGGTGTGAGTAGCTAAAACAGGAGGAAAAGTAAAATGGAAGTGGGCTTCGAGTCTTGAATGACATTCACATTCATTTCAAACATTAAAAAAAAAATCTACAAAAACCACCACAAGGAGGTCCTATTTCATTCTTACTAAAATAGCTAAGATTAAAAACAAACAAAACAATATAATAAGTGTTGAAAGGGATATGGGGAAATGGGAACCCTTATTTTTTGTTCATAGGAATGTAAAATGATACAATTATTGTGGAAAATAGCCTAGGGATTCATATATAAAAAAATAAAGGTAGAGGAGACATATGACCCAGAAATTCTGCCACCAGGCCTATAGAATAATAGCACAGTGTTTGAATGCAAGGCTGCTAACCAAAACGGTGGTGGTTATAAAAGAAATACGTGGCAGGCTGCTTCTATAAAGATACACAGCCTGAAAGATGTTGTAGGGCACTTCTACTGTGCCCTGTAGGATCTTTATGAGTCCAAATTGATTTTAAGACAATAAATTTAGGTTTATTGGTCTGGGTTTCTACTCTGGGGATCTAATAAAAGTAACTGCCTTTAACACATATAGGCATACCCGTGTGAACTCTGGTGGCATAATGGCTATGGGTTGGGCTGCTA